TCAGAGGATTTGGGTGATGTGGATATCTCCTGAAATTATGCTTCACTGCAGCATCCGTCATGATGGAAACAAGACACACAGCAGTGAAAATACCCTGTCATTCCATAAGTGGAAAATTTCAGGTGACAAAAACCAAAGCAAAACTCAGTCACACTGTGTTTCAGATAGCTCATGCAGGCTCTGCAAGGAGAGCGCAGAAATCTCCCAGAGAAGTCTGAGGGGCAGTGATATTTTACCCACTACCCCAGCAGGAACAAGAGACTGATGACAGCAATGATTGAGCCTGGATTTTGACACTTGAGCATACATAGAGTACGTGTAGAGAAGATTGCAGTTATGCACACAGATGGAAGAAGTAGATCACTGGAGAACAGAAGTGTGACAGCATTAAGACAGATAAAGTAATTTATTTCATAGGAAATGATTACACAGTTGAGAATCGTGGGGTGCTTTCTTTTCCATCAGAGTGAAAAGGAAAGAATATCTGATTTTATTCCACATGATCCACAAGATGTGTCATGTGCTTCTGATGGAGTCAGAGACATTAAATGGTTTAGAGAGTGGGTGAACATTTGGATTTCTACCTGATTGACAATGTGCAAGTCAGGGAATTGGCCCAGCATCAATGAGTATCTCATTAATTTTGGCATTAAATACTGTCAACACTGAGGGAAGAAAGTCATGTAACAGGTTCAGAATCAAGACATTGCCCTATATTTGAAGAATCAGCATTGAAATTAATATAATTTTACTAATTCCCTGTCCCAGCCTTTGCCCTGTGGAAGCTGGAACAGTTCTTATATTGAGGATTGGGGTTTTTTAAACCAGTGTTTCTCAGTGTCCACTTAAAATAGTGATCAAACTAAAACTGACTGCTGGCAGTCACCCACTGGGAATTATCTTGATGTCAGCAAGAGCTTCAACCCAAATCTGGCACAGTATGGTCTTCTGCTCAGAATTACAGGATTTTGTGTTGCTTTCCACCATGCACAGATCAGAAAATATTCTGCATTCAGTTGCTGATGCTTCTGTCTTCTGTCCCAGGTAAAGTGTGCAGCAGAAAGGTTTGTACTTGCTCTGTTCTGGCATGCTGAGGCCAAATTCTCTCTTATAGACAACCCAGGAGTTCTACAGAAATTAATATATGAAATCTGGAATTCTGCTTGAACAGGATGGAAGAAAATGAGTGTTTAAGGAGAAGCAATTTGAGGTAGCTGAAAATAATTTCAGAAATTCATTGCCTTTTGAAATAACTGGCAATGCTATCTAGGCACCAGGTAGGCAATTATTCATTTTATAAAGTAAGAGTTCTAAGGGATGTTGAAATTGGAGAGCAGAATACTTGTATAAAATATATGGGGTTTCCTGCTAGTTTTCCATAATGTTATCTGTAAAACACATACAGGCAGTGCAAAGGCATCAGAGCCTTTCAAAGCCTTTTGTGTATTCTTCCTCTGCACATTAGAGAGGGAGATATTAAGAGCTGAGCAGATCATCAAAGGAAATGTATGTGCCTAAATTCTCTTTGTTTGAGTAGACTACATATTTTCTGAGGATCTGAGTCCAGAGACACCAGATGGTTGTTTTTCTCAGATATTTAGGCACCTACACATGCAAATAGGTGCCCAGCAGTATTTTCAAGCATGTCCAAACGCCTCGTTCTCTAAATAACCATTGAAAATATTGATGCAACATTTTCATCCTACATTTGGGGTTTTTTTTTCTAAAATATCAAAGGAAAAAAACACTTCTGTGGAAATTTTTAACGGAAGAGATGAGCACCCCCAGGGTACAGAGTAGGGACTACACAGATCTGGGATATTTCTGCCAAATGCACACAAGACAGTGGAAAGTGATGGTGGCAGCTCTAGGAACAGCCTGGCACTGGAGGAGTTAAAAACTGCAGTTAAAGAGAGATTAAAAGCTGCAGCCAAATGTAGTTGTTTTGGAATCATGCAGTTAAATATCTCTAGCCCTCCCTACCTTCCAGGATTTCCCCCAAAACTGAATAGTGACACAAAAATACACTTGGGAGGGGTGATTTGAAGAAGTTCAGATGACATTTACCCTACAAAAATTCAGCAAAAATTTCTGAACCCCAAAAAGAGAAGGAGGAAGCAGCTCAGATAGGAAGGAAAAATGAGAAGCTTAAACACTAAACAAAAATATCAAATTTACTCCCCCTTTTCTAGGAACATGGATCTTGTGTACCTGAACACTCTCTTGATAACCGAAAAGCCTGTGCTGGGTTCTGCTGAAGAGGAATTGGGTCTTACTTCTGTTCTTAAGAAGAATAATTGATGTTTTGTCCTAGAGATACCTTTTTTAGATTCCTGACACTGCAGTAAATTAGTCTGTAGCAGAATACAAAGGAAGATGGGCTTGGGGAACAATTAGGGAGTTTTAAAATGCAACAAAAAGTTACAGAGAAAAAAATCTCTTTGCTATAATTGATAGTTTTGTCTCAAAGGGAATTAACAGAATTTTATGACTTTGATCTTCTAAAGAATGAGGTTCTTTACTTCATTAGTCATTTTGCTTCAGTTTCAGCATGGATGCCACAAGAGAGAAATCCCCAGCCTTTTAAAAGGGGGCAATCCTCCTACATTTGTCACAGCTGCCCTACTGAAGTTCAGTTCAAGAGAGCAGTTGGAGATTTTGTGGCAGAAAATCCATTATAATTAATGAGCATTCATAATTAATGGCTGGCCTGATGTAGCCTTTGAGAAGGATCACAGCTTTTCTCCTTATGATCTTAATGCAACAATTTCACTTTATGATCACAACCTTTCTATCTACTTAAAAACTTAGCAATGGGCTAAATGATAGCAGGAGTTAGATAATTCCACTGTTAACCAAAGTTAAAAGCTCTTTGGTTTGCTGTTCTCAGAGACTGCACTAACTGTTCTGATTATGAAGCATGAATTTTAATAACAATACTGTTCTGTACTCCTCACCTGCATAGGTTTAGAACTAATTAAAATACATCAGGAATGTATCTGCTTCTATCTAAGCAAGGAACACGACTGAGTAACAAGATCTTCCATCACCTCAAAAGAACCATCTCTTGCTAACACTGATTTCCCCTGCAAAGTTAAAAACCAGATCAAGTTTTTACTTTACTAATGGGGGAAATTAGTTGCAAGTATTTCTGTTTGCTTTATATTTCATGCAGTTTTATGAGCACTGTTACAGGTGGGGAAAAAGAAAATGCCGTTTTTCTAACTGATAGCGGAGTTTGAGTTTCTCAAATTTATTTCCGTGAAACTATGGCAATGAAATTAAAACCAATCTTCTTGCTCCATGAAGGAGCAGCTATTCCAGAAGCAATAAGATTTTAGATTATTGAAATAACCCTTGTCACACATTGATAGATTTTATTTCCAGGTACATTCAAAAACCCGAGTTGCAGAGTAGATTTGCTGGGGTGGCCATGGGGACCAGGGCAGCCCCTGCTCGTGGCCCTGCCTGGAGATTCCTCCCAGGCTCCCCAAAGCTCAGCTGCTCCAGCACTGCCATCCCTGTGGCAGCGTGGGCAGCACCTTGCCTTGATTAGTGCTAATTACAGCCCGAGGCAGGGAGAGCCAGGCACGGAGCTGTCACAGCTGGGAAGGGACACAGAGGACACAGAGCGCTCACAAGGGCGAGCTGTGCCACCCTGGGTGGGTTCCCTGCTGCAGGCAGTGACAGCTGGGCTTCCCACTCACACACGTCTCGTTTTCCAGCCCTCCCTGGCAGCTGGGCTCTCTTCTCTTCTGCCTCTCCCCAAAGGGCTCACCAGCATCCTCTCACAGGAACAAGGATCCAGGGTCTGTGCATCACCAGGAAAATTTCATCTGATTTGAGGCTGGGTCTGCTCATGCAGGGACACTGCATTGTCACTTCTGTAATAAAATGTAGCTGAAACAGAAGGTGCTGACAATATGGAAATATGTACAATGTTGTAATGTCAAATCCTTCTCTGGGATTCAGACTCCACTCCAGAACAAGGAATAAACAGACATAGAAACCTGATGTACAGGTCTAAGAGCCTTTTGTCTCGTTTTTTGGGTGAGCATCTTCAGTGAATAGCACAAAACTTTGAGATCAGCTCTTCTGTAGGAATGGAAATGATTTATTTACCCTTCCCTTGTACATCTGCAGGTGTTTTCAGAGAGCAGAAAAATAGGCAAGAGGTTGCTTTTCTCAGTTAAGGATTTCATAAAAAGAAATTGAAACAAAGTTTTTGTTCTGCCATCCTACAGATAATTTACTTCAGCTTAGGACACAAACAAGATTTCAGCTGGAGGAAACCTGGTCTCTGCTGAGGACAGACCATCCCCTGTTTTCAAAGGGGTTCTGTGTGTTTTAGAGGAGGCTTCTATCATAGCATCAAAAAGACCCTGGAGTTAAAAGCAAGCAATGTGATTTCTTGAGTCAGAGTGTTCTGAATGACAAATTAGAAACCACAAAACTGTTTTTCTTTATCAGGAAGCACACAAGCAATTAAACTCCCCAATCCCTGGCCTGCTGAGGAACACTGTGTTCAATTTTCCTTTAATTTTTTCACAGTCGTAGATGGAAATACATCTTAAAGCAGTAGCCAGCCACACTGAGGGACTGCTACTCCAGTGGGATGATGGTGTAACTTTCCAGACAGTGTCAATAGCTTATTAAGATTTCAGCTTCATCACCCCCAGGGTTCAGCTCCATCTTCCACCCTGTTATAGATGGTTCTTTAGTTTGTTGGGTTTTTTTTAATTTTTCCACATCAGAGCACCTTGCCACCTTTACTGATTAATCCTCTGGATCCCTTCAGGGTAAGGAAGTATTACTAAGGCTGTTTTTCAAACTAAGGAGGAGTTTGCAAAGTAAGATATTGCAAATATAGAAATCTTGTTGCACAGAACATGGCCAGAAACACACAGGCTTGGCATGCATGCAGGAGGCAGGAACACCCATGGGCTGTAAAATAACTTCCCTCTGTGTGTGAAGGGGAATCACCAGGTTTAATAACTCACCTTATTACTTGCTGTTGACTCCTCTCAGAGCTGCCAATATCAACCTTAAGAAAAGCAGAGCAAAAATCAATACCCAGAGAAGAAAGGGGAGCCCCATGTCCCCAGGCTGTCACTGCTGCCTGACAGCCACAGCCAGAGCTGCCACCACTGACAGAGCCTTCCCAGGGCTCAGGAACAGAGCAGGAAACACTTCTGACAGCAGGCAAGGGAGCTGGACCAGCAAGAAGCCATAAATAAGGACAGATTCTGGCAATGAAAGAACCCTGTGATGATCTGTGAAGTTTCACAAATAATCCTTGGCTCATCCCAAACACCTGACATCCCAAATACTGGCAAAATTAATGTAGGGAGAACGAGGGAGATGCCAGAGGATTTCTGCCTGAGAGTTCAAGACTTTTCCAAGAGATGATGGGGACCGCCAGCTCCTTCTGGTCTGAATTCCCCACAATGAAGTCAACACTACAGTTAAATGGGAAGTTTTGCAGCATCCCAGTACAGGCAGGAGGAGGGTTGTACACACAGGTGGGATTTCTTTTGTGCAGCAGCCTGGAGAAAGACTCCCTTTAATCCTTTTGAGAAGAGACATGAATAGGAGACAGAGAAGCACAATTTTCCACAGCCTCCCCAAATCTCTTTCTGATCCCCAGAGGATCTATTCAGGATGGGACTGATACTGCCTTTTATTCATATTGCAGATTGGTGAGGGACTGCTGACACCAGAAGCAAACCATATTCAGAACTGAAACCCTGTTGAAGTTGTATCCCTTCATCTTTTCTTTTCTTACTAAATTTCACCCCCCAATAACTGGGGTTAAACGCTGGCCACACAGACCCAGTGAACAGCACACAGCCCTGTCCCTGCACATTCCTGTCCTTGCACTTCCCTCCCTGCCCAGAGAGCACCAGGCTGGGCCAGGAACAGCCCCAGGGAGCATCCTGGTGCTGCAGGGCCAGCACTGCTGTGGTCCTGAGCCAGCACAAGCAGCAGCACCACTGTGCCTACCTGAGCCCTGAGCTGGGGGAAGCTTTGCTGCTGCTGCCGAGCCCAGCCCAGCCCCACGGCCCCTTTTGATCCCAGCTCAGCTGAAACACCAGCACTGTTTGACTCAGGATCTGTTTGAGTGTAAAGGAGCCACCAAAGACAACCTTTCTCTGCAATTAAGCCTTTTGCTTTTTCTTCCAGAGCACCTCCTGCTCCTGTTGTGCCTGTGTGGATGTATGGGAGCTGCATCCTCAGGATCACTGGATGCCCACCCACATCTCCTGGCAGGGTGAAACTCTGTCCAGCTGTCACACCAAGAAGGTGACTGCACAGAGAAATGACCATTTTTGTCAGGACCCAGGGAATCCGTGCATGATCACACACCACCTCTCACCAAGGGTGAAGCTCTTCCCTCTGCAGAACCCTCCAGAAGCCACATGGAGCTGCCCACCATGGGAAGGCAGGGCAGGGAGGCTGGGATGCTCCCATCATTCATGTACCAGCCAGAGTCACTCCCCTACACCCACTGGAGCAGAGGCAAAGCTCACTGGGATGGCAGGAGGTGTGTGATGCCCATTGCCCATCCCATGGCTGGGTGAATCACAGCACTCCTCCCAGCCCGGAGAAGAGCAAAGGGTCTGGATGCAGCACTGACCAAAGAGACTCAAACTCCCATTTATAATGGTTTGAGTTGGAAGGAATGTTAAGATCACCCAGTTCCACCCCACTGCCTCAGACTTTTCTGGAAACTTCCTAAATGCTCCTGCTTTAGCTGGTGCAAACGTGTCCTGAGGAACGTAATGGTAGAAGTTAGTTTGAAATAACACACACAAGCTCTTCTGAAACAAAACATTTTCATGGCTTCTCTGCACTTGAGCCAATTTCTTCAGGCATTCTGCCCCATATTTAAGAGCCAAAGGCAAGATCTCCACATTAGGTGTCTAGTGCTAAATTTTATGGCCCTGCATTTGAAAATATGTTCCTAAATATCTGAAACTCAGGCACCTGGAAATAAGTATTTGCCTTTGGAGCGAACAGAAAAGGAAATAATCCCTGTATGTTATTTTTATTTTCTTTCCTTTATATGGTTTTAAGCTGCTTTTATGCGGCACTGGAAAGTTCCAGCCCGTGATTTGTGGCATTCTGGTCTGCTAATAGAAACATCCCCCTGCCTGCTGCTCACTGTGCAGAGCAGAAGGATCGTAATGCAGATTGTAAATGGTTGCATTAGGGAGAAAGATAATGTTTCTTTCCACTTTCATTTCCCTGGGTTGGTGTTTATCGTGGTAGGGGTTGCGTAAGCACATGACAGAGATCATGCATTATTTACCAGGCTGGGGCTGGGGAAAGGCTGCAGCCCTTCAGAGCGTGGATCCACGCCCAGCAATTCCCACCCCGCCACGGTTTGTGCTGTGTGTGGTGGGAGCTGTTAAAGCAAACAGGATTGTCCTGCCAGCCTGGAGGGCAGCGGGGATGGGACTGAGGGGCGCAGGCTCTGCTCTCCCTCTTCTCACCTCTGGACATTTATGTCATTGTTTATTTCACAAGACTGGACCAGAACTGTCACTGAGTCGCCACAACCATCAACCAATTCCTGAACAAAACACCTGAACAAAACACCAAAACACCTGAACAAAATTTCTTTCTCTTGAATGTATCTGAGGGCAGACAAACCCAGACATGGTAGGAAGGAGAAACCTTTCAGCCCCACATTGTCCCCATGATGCCACCGAAGCCAGAGATGCTGACCCAGTTTCTAAGCAGGACAGGAAGTTGCAACACTCTAAAGTTTATTGTCATTAAACTCTAGCCAAAGTCAGAGGCCCTGTGTTTGTCCTTGCAGTGCTACTGCCAGTGCACATAAAAACTCACAAAATCAGCCACTAAATGCTGGCAACCTTGGGAAAGAATTAAAAAAATCCCCCAAACCAAGAAACAAACCCAGTGAAACTACTAAATAAGGAATAAGTTAATGAGGAAAAATTAAAAGGAACTGAAGACTTTAAAAACTCTTCCAAATTAAGGAGAACAAAGAGAAAGGATCAGCTCTTGTTTTTGCAATTAAGGTGTTATTTATGGCAATTTAGCTGTTTTAAGATTAAGCCTGGATACAGTGCCACAGAAAATACATCTGATTTACTCCCAGGGCTTCTCATCAGTTTGTATATGAGCTCCAACCAGGCAGCCAAAAAGCAAGAGGAGCTCAGAGCTCCCTGTGTGCACACAAAGCTCCAGTAAAACACCCCTAGGACTGATCCCCACGCTGGGCAGCTGCACTGTGACCACTGAACACAATCACAGCTCTGGCACCAGAGCTGAGACACAGCACCCTCGGGGCAAGGATCTTCGAAGAATGAGAGAGAACACTGTGCAGGAGCAAAAGGGAAAATATACAGACTCTGGTTCTGTGTCTGAGTGCAACCTGCAGTGAAGAGGGGTGGAAAGAGGATGCTCAGGGGGGCACCCTGTGTGTGCAGGGCAGGGATGCAGCCCCAGGAGGTGTTTGGGGGCATTTACTAGGGAGGGCAAACAGCACCTTTGTCCTGTCCCAGCAGTGAGGGAACCATCCTGGCCCAGGGCTGTGCCATCCGTCACCAGGGACACAGCCAGGGGAATGCTCCCCATGGGCTCAAGGGATGGAGGGATGTCACAGACGTCTTTTATGAAAAATCCTTCCCTTAGGATTTTTCCTCCTGAGAAGCTGAGAGGCCTCAGGAACAAAATGTAAACAATGGTTATCTGCTGCTGTGGAATGCAACAGGTGGAATTTTGATTGGCCCATGCTGGATGTTTGTAATTAATGGCCAATCACAGCCCAGCTGGCTCGGCAGAGAGTCTGAGCCACAAACCTTTGTTATCATTCTTTCTTTTTCTATTCTTAGCTAGCCTTCTGATGAAATACTTTCTTCTATTCTTTCAGTACAGTTTTAATATAATATATATCATAAAATAATAAATCAAGCCTTCTGAAACATGGAGTCAGATCCTCCTCTCTTCCCTCAGCCTGAGACCCCTGTGAACACTGTCACAGAGGGATGGGGGTGAAAGATGCCCACGAGCCCCTGGCACAGCCCTTTCTCCTGCACCACACTTCTGTGCAAGGAGGAAGCACACCAATGACCATGACATCCCTACGCATCTTTTCCTCCAATTGCATTTTCCTCCTCTTACAGAGTTGGAAACATCTGCAGAGAGCCTGCATGTAAACCATTGAGACTGTGCACACTATTTGTAGGATTCAGCCCAAGATGCCTTCTTGATTTTCTTACATATTAATGAAAACAATAAAGGAAATAAATAAAAAAAGGTCGCAAAGCTTTGTTAAACTCAAAAGCAGTTCAGAGAAGAGAGAGCTGAAGATGGGATGGTGCTGGGAAGGCATTCAGCCTTGCCGTGCTGCTGCTCACAGAGTCCCCTCTTTGAAGGAGGCATGAAAGGAGACATTTCAGCATGAGAGTTCAAACTCTGTGGCTCTGTTGATTTTTCCAGCCCCCACAGGCTGCTTGCCTGGGCATCCTGTTCTTTGAACCTGCAGAGTAAATAGGTGTAACTGCCGTGGCTCTGTGGGCAGGAGATGTGCTCCCAGGAGGAGCTCTGGGGGCAGGCAGGAAAAGGCCCTGCTGCCATCCTGAGAGCAGCAGGAGGCACGCACAGCACTGGGGCTGAAAATGGGAGGAAAAAAGAGACAGAGAGAGGAACAAAAGTCGAGAAAACCTTCCATAGAGGAATAACTCCTTGTGGATGGCAGGGTCCCCAGGACTTGTGAGTAAACACACAGGTAATGGCTCTTCTGAGGATGGGTGCAGGAGGATGTGAACAGCAATGTGACAGAAATGTGTCGGCTTTCTGCCACCCAGCAGAGCTGCTGGTGGCACACGGGGTTTAACTGGAGCACCTGGAGCTTGGCAGGAGATGAGGAGCACGCTGACCAGGGCCTCAGAGGGTGTTGAGTTTTTATTTAATTTTATTCAAATCTAACTGACCAGAAGATTTCCCTTCTCTTCATTCACCCTCTCCCAGCAGAAACATTTATTATGCTAAGTGAAATGTTTAACCACCAGCACTGTTGGCTGCAACAGCTCATCATAAGCAGCTTTAGCTTTTCCTGGGATCAGCACCCTGGGGCTGGAGGTGCTGTTTTCCTCTGCCCAGTTACTCTTCCTCTCCCCTGCCCATTTTTCAAGTTCCAATGCGTTAAAATAAAAGTATTAACGGTGCTTATCTGATGCATGGGAGATTGTGAGAGCAAGCTGGCGAGCAGCCAGGAGCTAATAGCAGCATAAAGCAATTTGCTGAAAAAAAAAGAATTAACATGCTAATTGTCAGGCTGGAGAGGGTGCTGGGGATCACAGAGGAGTAAAAAAAAAAAAAAAAAAAAAAGGAAGGGACATTGATTACTCCAGATTTAAACAATAAAGGGATGAAGAAGAAAGAAAGGTTTTGAGGCAATTTTCTTCTTTTTTGTCCCGTTCTTTGCTACCCTCCCCCAGCTCAAAACCTCCAGCCAGAGCCTCAGGCACTCACGGGAATTTATCCGAAGATCTCTTCCTTTTTAGCATCGTGTCAGTGCCAGCTGCACCGCGGGCTGCGGAGCGGTCGGCAGCACAACCCAGCC